CCACTAAATTTCGCGAATTCCGGACGCCTGCATTGAAAATCTTAAGAACCGAAATTTTCGCGCGCCCTTAAATTTCGCGAATTCTTCAATTCGCGATATTCGCGAAAATTGAGGGCTCGCGAACATTAAGGGTTTTACAGTATTCCTCCATTTTCGACCCCAATTCCCATAGACCCCACCCCGCGCCCCTCCAGCCCCAGGACACAAATCCATAGGAGGGCGATCCTGAAAGAAAATAAAGACAAGTTTATTAATCAATCAATCCCGTGTCATGCTTTTCCATTCGCAGCTCGTGGCTATGATAAACATTAATCAGCACCAGATCCCATGGTCGCTTGTTCTATTTGCGAGTTGAGGGGGAGACGGGGGGGGGGGGGGGGACACTGCTTATCTCGTTCATTGCGACTGCCATTACAGCTGGTAGCAGCGCGCAAAAACACGAGGACAAAAGGAGGAATGCACAAGACGAGTGCTGATGGCATATCGGGGAGAGAAAAACTAATGAGTATTCAGCAAGTTATCAACATCAAAGATTAGTTCTAAGCAGAATATGTTCTGAAAGTACAAAACCGCTACACCACCGAGGCACCTAAGTATGCCTATTTTACTTCTGAATTGTCTGTAGGGAGGGGGGGGGGGGGGGGGGGGAGTGCAGTGCGCAACGAAACGAAATGGACCAGTAGAGGGCGTGGCTTGTGCAGATACAATAACTTGATCTATAGAGTCACTGTAAGTAAGCCGGCCACGGACGGCGGCCGAGAATCTCTCGTTGGGGGAGGCTCTGGTCTCGGAGCCTCTTTCTTTTGGCGCTTCCCCCGTCCCACGAATGTGCCTCGTACGGCAGCGTGGGCCCCCTACAGGTCTGTCTGATACGACAGCGCTAATATTTTTCCGTTTTTTTTTTTTTTTTTTTCATTTAGTAGTTTAGCCGACGGGCAAAGCGTGATGGCGAAGACGCAAATAAACCCGCTTCTTCGGAATTCTTGTGTTTCAGAGTGATTCCTCTCCTCGGAGCCCAAGGCAGCCTTCGGACGGACCCGGCCGTAGCAGTCCTCAGCATCAGGCTACGGAGTGGGGTCTATTTCGTGGTGCAGTAAGGTAAGTGGAATCCCACACTGTATAAATCAGAGTAACTGCATAGGCACTTTAAGCGAGATATATACGCGGTTACTCAAGCAAGGTCATGCTTGAGTAACCGCGTTGTCCATTTTGTTTCGTTAAAGGGGCGGTGCAACAATTTTCGGACTTCGGTCAAAGATTTCTGAAAGTTGCCCCCTGACACTTCTGAAGTAAAGAACAGAAAACCGATTTCGCCTGCGTGTCCTAGTTGTTGCGTAAAAAAAAGATAAAGATTGGCATTTCGGGCACCCCTCAACTCACTCCCAGCCTTCAGGGTCACACCTGGTCGCACTCCCAGTGACGTCATTCGGAGTGCCGTGTAGCTTCCCGTGTGCTATCTCGGAGGACGCTTCCCCTCCCTCTCTGCGTACATTAGCGAGCGCTATGCTGCAGCTTAAAGCCGAGCGAGGTCACGTAATCTTTCCGCCGTAGTTCCTTCGGCTGCCACTTGGGGCTGCAGGTGGGGGTAAAAGCTCGACTTTTGCTTTGCGCTTATGCCGTGTGTGGTGTTTGGCGGAGTGAGGTTCGGGTTGGGTCACCCTGGGTACAACGTCGCGGGGAACTCTGGGATGGGGCACCCGGGCGGCGGGTAGTCTGTTTTCATTGGGCCGCTTGAGCTGGACACACAACATAAAGTGGCGACGAGGACTTTCGACCGACCACCCATGCGAGCAGAACTCGAGCAGCAACTGGTGGACGCCGTGTAGGCCTGAGAAGACAGCAACCGCGGCGGGTACGGAGGAGCAAGCGACGCAGCGGAATGGTGCAGAGCCATGGCCAAGTTCGGGCAAGTCGAACATTTTGACGCTTCGTTGTGCTCATGGTCGTCATACGAAGAAAGACTAGCGTCGTTTTTGAGAGCGAACCATGTGCCGGAAACCGACCAGGTTGACGCCTTTTTAAGCCTAATTGGGCCTACGACGTACAACTTACTCAAGTCGCTAACAGCTCCTCAGCTACCAGTAACGAAGTCCTTCGACGAGCTAACGCAGCTACTACGAGACCATCTAGAACCCAAGCCGTCTGTTATTGCAGAGCGAGCCAGATTTCATCGCCGAATTCAAGAGCAGGGCGAGACTATTGCGCAGTTCGTCGCCGCGCTAAGGACGCTCGCACGAACGTGCGACTTTGGCACGTTTTTGGATGAGTCATTGCGTGACCGGTTCGTTTGCGGAATGCGCCGCGTGGATATTCAGCGAGCACTTTTCGCCGAAGATAAGACGTTGACCTTCCAGAAAGCGGTTGACCGGGCCGTGGCTTTGGAGACAGCGATAAAAAGCACATCCGAGGTGCACGGGTCTGGTGGCAACAGCGACCAAGTGGAAAGCGCCAGCGTCCACAAGTTGAAAGGTGACAAGGAAGATACTAAGAAGCGAGGGGTGGCTTGTTACCGTTGCGGGTCAAGCAAGCATCTCGCACACAGCGAGATGCTTGCTTGACCCGCGAGATGTGCGTACACAGCGAGGCGACCTGTTACAAATGCCAGAAAGTGGGGCATATTCAGCGAGCATGCCGCTCATTTCAGGAGAGGAAGCCGCAAGGAAGGAAGAAGTCGCTGAAAACTTTAACGGTGACTAAGGACGCCCATGTCAACCGCATTACAGCTCCAAAAGACCAGCCATTGACGGTAGAAGTGCTGGTTGAGAATTCGCCGGTGACAATGGAAATCGATACCGGAGCGGCGGTATCAGTCATCTCAAAGCAGCAGTACCGTGAGAGGTTTGCGGCATTGAACTTGAAGCCGACGGCGCTGCGGTTGAAGACGTACACCGGGGAAACTGTCAAGCCCTGTGGAGTTCTGGAAGTTAAAGTTTCGCATCAAGAGGAAACAAGAGTCCTGCCATTGTATGTCCTGAACCAGTCAGGGCCACCACTTCTTGGCCGGGAGTGGCTACAGAGGCTGCGGTTGAACTGGAAGCAAGTGACGGGCTTCAACAATCTTCAGAGGAGCACACAAGGGGCAAGTCCGATGCCAGTGGACAAGTTGCAAGTATTACTAGACAGGTATCAGGCCATCTTCAAGGACGAACTGGGGAAGATCTCTGGAGAGGAGGCGAGGCTGTTCCTTAAAGAAGAAAGTCATCACAAGTTTTTGAAGGCCAGGAGTGTACCCTTTGTATTGGTTCCAGCTGTAGAAAAGGAACTGTCGAACCTAGAAGCCCTTGGTGTCATCACACCGACAACCAGTAGCGAGTTTGCGACACCATTAGTGCCTGTTCCCAAGAAGGATGGCACCATACGATTGTGCTGCGATTACAAGATGACATTGAATCCGATGTTGGATGTTGAGCGTTATCCCTTGCCGAGAGTAGATGAGCTCTTCTCAGTGTTGGCGGGAGGCCAGAGTTTTTCAAAAATCGACCTCAGCAGAGCATATCAGCAGGTTGTCATGAGTGAGGAGTCCCGACGATTACTGACCATCACGACACACAAAGGCCTATACCTCATGAATCGCCTACCTTTTGGAATAGCGTCGGCCCCGGCAATTTTCCAGAGGGTAATGGATAACATGCTGAAAGGAATCCCAGGGGTGGCATGTTATTTGGATGACGTGCTAATTACCGGAAAATCGCAGGAGGAGCATCTAAGAAGTCTGGAGGAGGTGTTCAAGCGTTTTGCGGAACGAGGCGTTCGCGTCAAGCGAGAAAAGTGTGCCTTCTTCCAGGATCAGTTGCAGTACCTGGGACATGTGATAAGTCCTGAAGGAATAAGGACGTCGGAGGAGAAGGTGGCTGCTATCGTAAAGGCACCAGCACCAGCAGACGTGTCGCAGCTGAGATCGCTTCTGGGAGCCGTGAACTACTACGGCAAGTTTGTTCCTCAACTGGCAACCATAGTGGCTCCACTCTACAAGCTACTGCATCAAGATGTGAAGTGGCACTGGGACCGTACATGTCAAGAGGCCTTCCAACGAGTCAAAAAGTTGCTGATGTCCTCAGAAGTGCTTGTACACTACGACCCAACAGCACCCTTACAACTGGCGTGTGACGCATCATCTTACGGTGTCGGAGCTGTGTTGTCTCACATATTGGAAGATGGAACTGCGCGGCCAGTCGCATACGCGTCACGGACACTGACGTCTGCAGAAAAAGGGTACAGCCAGTTGGAAAAGGAAGCGCTGGCGTTGCTGTTTGGAGTGAAGAAGCTTCACTTTTACCTTTATGGACGCACGTTTAAGCTTGTGACGGACCATAAGCCCTTGCAGACTATTTTTGGACCAAAGAATGGGATCCCGGCAATGGCGGCTGCACGTCTGCAAAGGTGGGCAGTGACCCTGTCTGCCTACAGGTATTCTTTGGTGTTCAAGCGGTCGACTGAGAATGTTGAAGCGGACTGTTTCTCCAGACTTCCAGTGGAAGGGCGGCAAGAGAGTGACGAAAAAGTGGAGTCTTTTTGTTCCTTAAGATTACTGTCCTTGCCGGTGGACAGTCGGGACATCGCAAGAGAAACCGCACGAGACCCGTTGCTGAGGCGGGTGTACGACTACGTCTTGAAGGGGTGGCCTCCTTACGTGGGAGACCAAGCGCTGAAACCTTGGTTTCAACGTAACACGGAGCTGTCGGCACAACAGGGCTGCCTTATGTTAGGACTGCGAGTGGTAGTGCCGGAAAAGCTACGGAGCATGCTGCTGGACGAAATCCATGAAGGGCATCCAGGAGTAGTGCGAGCCAAGGAGGTAGCTAGGAGTTATTTTTGGTGGCCCTCAGTGGACCAGGATGTGGAAAACCATGTGAAGGCGTGTGAGCAGTGTCAGCAACAGCGTAATCTGCCTACGCAAGCGCCTTTGCATCCTTGGTCGTGGCCCACCAAACCATGGCAGCGGGTACATGTAGACTACGCTGGACCATTTCGAGGAGCTATGTTCTTTGTAATTGTGGATGCCCACTCAAAATGGCCAGAGGTGTTTATTATGCAAGCGACAACCTCGGCAAAGACTATTGAAAAGCTACAGGAGGTGTTTGCGCGTTTTGGAATGCCCGAGACGTTGGTTTCTGACAACGGTACACAGTTTACGTCAAACGAGTTCAAGGATTTTCTAAAACGGATCGGAACACGTCATGTGTTAACAGCACCGTATCACCCCAGTAGCAACGGCCTGGCGGAGAGATTTGTGCAAACCTTAAAATCGGCGCTGCGCAAGGGAGTTGCCTCGGAGCCACTGCAGCAGACCTTAGGAAAGTTTTTGCAAACCTACCGAAACATTCCACATGCAACAACGGGGGAGGCGCCAGCAGTTTTGTTTTTGGGAAGACGCCTTCGCACTAGACTGGATGTTCTCAAGCCATCTGTAGAAAACAGAGTGGCCAGGCATCAGTTCCGCCAGATGTTGCAAAGAAGCTGCCGTACCCGAGAGTTTAAAATAAAGGACCGGGTACGTGTGTGGAACCCCCATCGGGGAGACAAGTGGCTAAAGGCAACTATACTGTCAAGGAGCGGTCCTGTCTCGTACAAGCTGCGTGTGTACCGGGACCATGACACAGTCATCTGGCGACGCCATCAGGATCACATTCGGCAGGAGGGGGACCAGGAAGTTGGAACGCCGGCGTCGCGGGAGGAAGATGAAGCTAGCTTCATACCGCAAGCTTTAAGTACAGCAAGCCAAGCGCAGCCTCCCCCTGCCAGCCCACCTACAAGTGCCTCAACGGACCCGGGGTCGACCAGTATTTCAAGGCCTCGAACGCCGACTCAGCGCTATCCAACAAGAGTGCGCTGCCCTCCTGATCGTTATTCACCAAGGGACTGACCTAAGGGGGACTTTCTCAATCAAGTGCGGAAGAATGTGGTGTTTGGCGGAGTGAGGTTCGGGTTGGGTCACCCTGGGTACAACGCCGCGGGGAACTCTGGGATGGGGCACCCGGGCGGCGGGTAGTCTGTTTTCATTGGGCCGCTTGAGCTGGACGCTACGGAGCAAGTCGCTCCCCATGTTGGTTGCGGAATAAAGACACGTTCCGTACCAAAGTCTCTCCTTTGTCGGCGGACACACAACACCGTGGAATCGCGACAAAATTGGGTTGTGCGTATGTTTATACAGCCCAGAACTTGGTCTGCCTCAGAGGGGCGACGAGTCTCCCAGCTGTAGATGAGAAATTTAGCCAGTGCGGTACAACCGCTAGCCTGGGGTCTTTAACGTGCACCACGCAGTAGTGATACACGACCGCACGCCGGTACGATGCTCATCCAGATCGAAACGGGCAGGGGTGGGGCTCGAACCCAGGATCCCTGAGTTCTGCAGCGCGAGCTTTCGCTCCACGTGCTCCGAGCTGGTGTGCTCTAGACCACTCGGCCACCAATCCCCCTGCGGAATCGCGACATTTTTAATAAAGGAAGTGTTTTCTCTATCCTCTGGGATACGATAAACAACGTAAAAATTACGAGATGCAAATTGTTTTAATCATAAAATCGTTGCACCGCCCCTTTAAGCACTCCACATGAAAAGAACGATTCCGGGGACCTCAGACGGACAGCCGACGTTTCGCTGAAAGACATCGAAATCTGAGAAGCTGAGCCCGTTAGCGAGACGCTGGTAGGTGCCCCGAGTCTCGCGGGAGGTTCGTTCTCAAATTTATCCTACCAGCTTGAACCACCCCCTTAATTTTCTTAAACTTCCCACTCTTTGGCTGCGAAATGACACTAAAAAAATGGTTGTCCAATAGGCGGAGGAAGGCCAGAGAAAAATGGGGGAGAGTAGCTTTAGAAACATTTTGTGTTGTAAAGGTTCTTCGGCGCCGTATCTATCCAATACAACAACAGTGCGATTTGCAGATAATTACTCTTGAACCCATTTACGCGTACTTTGAAAAAAAAAATGCCCCCATATTAACAGGGCGTCATGTAATTGGGCGTTAGGAAGCAGATGATGACAAGACGCGCCGGATGTATTATGTTATCATTAATTGCTACAAAAATGTGGGAATGAGAAGGAGAGGGTGATTCGCGCAAAAAAAAGCCCTCAACGCACTCTACCAGAAGAAAAGCCAACAAGACTGGAAGACAGAAAACACCAGAAGTCCTGCGCATTAAACACATCTTTACCTCACTCCAGGACTACTACATTCTAGCAGTCTTGTACACGTTACTAAAAAAAAAAGTAACCAATTAAAATTACAATTATTTATTGAAAAATGTAACTAATTACCGTAATCAATTGCTGCATCACAAAAGTAATTGAGAAATTACCAGAAAGTTACTGATTACTTTTCACGTTACTTTTTAAACTTTTTATTACGAAATCAAAAATGCATGCATGTGTTCAAAGTGGTTATATTTGGTTTCTTTTTGTCAATCGCATTTTGTTAAGCTTCAACAGCAGTTGTCGTTTGAAGTTCTCGTCAGTCATATTCGCACGTTTCCTGGTGAAGGTATCTGCCGCTAAGCTGAAGACCCTCTCGACGGATGCGCTTGAGGGAAGAGCGGCGTTGTAGCACACAAACACTTTGCGTACCAGGTCGTGGTTGCGCGGTGCTTCGACGGGCGCTTCGGAGTCTAGATGAGGTGAGTGCAGAACACAATCGTCTATGCCGCGGCAAACCCGGATTGTAACAACCCGTACACGGGAAACGAGGCATTCTCGACCACTCCACAGTCAAAACGTCGCAGAGCGCGTTGATTTCCTGATCTTTCTAGTATATTGGTATATTTTTTTAGTTGTTTAGGGGTCAAAAAGTGTCCAATGTTGGTGCAACATAGATAGAGTCCCGCTTACGGTTTTTATTTTTCAAAATTCGGCGTAATTCTTTCGGTGTTTACTTTAAAATTCAATTTTCGGTTGTTTTCGGTGTATATTTATGCCCACAAACGTTTACCGGTGTTTTTCAGTTAATATTAAAGAAACACCTTCGGACAGCGTATCAGATGATCCTTGTAGCTCTGATATTTGTGATCACTCAAGGAATAACGACACAGACACATAGAGAAAAACATCGAGACATTATTTAGCAAATGTGTGCAACTGTAAAATAAAAAGAAGAAAAACACAGAAGTACAAACATGTCAGTGCCCAGAAAAGATGGAACTTCACCTTCTGTACATTAGCATTACGTGATCTTATTATTGTAAACACACATGTACCTTCCCAGGTTCTCCTCGTTGATCCACGCTCATTGTTTCCTGTTAATGACTCTGGGCTTCGAGAATGCCCGTTCAATGTTAACACTGGACACTGGCAGGCTGAGGGGATGAAGCGCTGCCTGAGCCAATATTGACCAATCAACCAAATGTGACTGCTAAAAGAGACGGTGCGACGTTTTGAAGCACAACATATTTCGTGTACTCACTAAACTAAACTCTATAGCTGCAGATCTTGCCATGAAGCGAAAAACCTTATACTAGCCCACACCCGAACTTCTTTTTTTTTTAGGACAAGGAGCTTGACACATTGATTCCGATCACAGAAAGGACACCGATGTCTCGTGAAGGACAGCTCAAGACATTTTTTGTTGCATGTTGAACCATGGAAGAGGGCAATAACGATGAGGTCACAGAATGTGGAACCTTGCAACGCCCTCTCTCCATTCCCCCCTCCCCCACCCTCCCCCCGCCCATCTCGACGCGGCCATGAAAAAAAAAAGATCATTTTCAGTTAAAACAGAATTTCCGAAAATGGATTCGGCGTAATTTTATTAGTTTTTATCTGTTTAAACCGAAAACTCCGAACCCTAAACAAAGACTACCGACGCCCGATCAGACAAAGCGATTTTAGAGCGCAGCTCTTAGGGGCCCGTTTCCGGCTTGAGCGGCGTCGCCGTCGCCGTCGGCGTCGCCGTCGCCGTCGGCGTCGGCGTCGGCGTAACCGCGCGGTGCATCATGGGAAATGTCCCATAATGCACCGCGCGAGCCCCCCACCGGGGTCACGTGACTTGGGGGGGGGGCACGTGACCCCCCCCCGAGGTCACGTGACCCCCGCCGATGTCGCGTGACCCCCCGATGACGTCATCAACACTGATGACGTCACCGGCATCCACATCGTCATCGTCATCATCACTGATGACGTCATCATCAGTGATGATGACGATGACGATGCGGATGCCGGTGACGTCATCAGTGATGATGACGATGACGATGTGGATGCCGGTGACGTCATCAGTGATGATGGCGATGACGATGTGGATGCCGGTGACGTCATCAGTGATGACGTCATCAATGATGATGACGTCATCAGTGACGATGACGATGTGGATGCCGGTGACGTCATCAGTGATGATGACAATGACGATGTGGATGCCGGTGACGTCATCAGTGATGATGACAATGACGGTGTGGATGCCGGTGACGTCATCAGTGATGATGACGTCATCAGTGATGATGACGATGACGATGCGGATGCCGGTGACGTCATCAGTGATGATGACGATGACGATGTGAATGTCGGTGACGTCATCAGTGATGATGACGATGACGATGTGGATGCCGGTGACGTCATCAGTGATGATGACGATGACGATGTGGATGCCGGTGACGTTACCGACATCCGCATCGTCATCGTCATCATCACTGATGACGTCATCAGTGACGTCACTGATGTCGTCACCGGCATCCGCATCGTCATCGTCATCGTCACTGATGACGTCGTCAGCGACGTCACTGATGACGTCACCGACATTCGCATCGTCATCGTCATCATCACTGGTGAAGTCATCAGTGAGGTCACTAATGACGTCATCGGTACCCGCATCGTCATCGTCACTGATGACATCATCAGTGACGTCAGTGATGACATCATCGGCATTGGGGGTCACGTGACCCCCAAGGTCACGAAACCCCCCAAGGTCACGTGACCCCCCTGGTTAGTCTAACCCCCCCCCCCCAGCGCCCTTCCCTCCTCCTCCTCCTCCTCCTCCTCAAGAGCTGCGCTCTAATTCGGCGTTACAGGGAGTTGTAAGCGGCTTTCACTTTTTTATGTAAAAAATCTCAGCTCAATAACTTGAGCTCTTTCGGAAACACATAACTGATTGCTTGTAATTGATTACAAAAATGTGGTAATTGAATTACAGTGAACGTTACCAAAAAGAAAGTAATTGAAGCGTTGAAAAGTTATAAAAAATGTAATTGATTACAAGTAATCAGGTACCTGTAACTCGTTACGTAGAAGTCTGCATCCTGGGCAGCGAGGACCCAACACCACCATAACTTGGCAAATGGAGGAGGCCCGTGAGACAATCAGCAGGCCACAAGGAGACACATGACTGTGCTCCATCTCCCTAATTGCGCGCAGTGCTGTCGAAGCCATGGCCCGGAGAAAGAAAGAAAGCCTCTTTCGTACGAATTTCGAGTGACTGGCTAATCTTCTAGGGGACAAAGGGACGTCCGGTTGCGTCCGGGACACGCAAAAGAGGGTCCGGGTAAGTAAAGTGGTAAAGTCGTAAACGTTGAACATGATGAAAACTTGTGCACAAAGAGACAAGGACAAAAGAAGCAGGAACACACAACACAGACAGGCGCGTACTCACAACTCTGGTCTATTAGGTGAAGAAGGAAAGATGAACAAAATGGACCATCTTTCCTTCCTCACCTAATATACCAGAGTTGCGAGTATACGCGCCTGTCGCTTTGTCTTTGTCTCTTTGTGCGCGATTTTCATGAGGTCCGGGTAAGAGTGGAGTTCCTCCTTTACCTCTTCTCAAACTTGCGTTACGCTTTCGTCCCTGTACCTACGGTAAGGAATTGTCCCGGGCATCGGCCTCCTTCGTTCTGATTGGCTCCAAGGGGACAAAACGTTCTCTCTTTCACCCACATGCCCATGCACCCCACCCTCCCCCCCTGCCTCAGGAAGAGAAGTCCATACGAAGCGTGACCCCAAAAGAAAATAAAGACACGTTTAGTCAATCAATACACCAAACACCTCAGTTAGAAGTGTCACATTGATGATGTGAAGATGAGCGTGAAATTCAAACCAACTTCCGGAGAGCATTGGACACTGGTGCTATTGGACATCAAGGCCTCTTGCATATACCTTTCAGGTGAGCTCTTTTATTGCGTTTTGAATTAAATTAGATTGTGTAAGTTAATGGCATCTTCTGTTTTATCTCGAATCTGGTTTTATATAATTCTATGTTAATTTCGCTCCAAATAATGGTTGGTAAGAATATTTACTACTCTTTGTTTTTCAATAGCGCACTTCCTTATTCTTTTTTAATTGAAGGCTGTTAAAATTTCAAAAATGCACCCTTGCATAAGTAAAAAACGTTTATGGAAATTTATCACTAAATTTCAATCGTGCCTGCAAGACCAGGAGAGCACAGCATCAGAGCACTGAAGTGCGACGCCAAGGAACAAAGAGAGGAACGTTTGATTCAAATGGCATTGTGGAAATTTGTGCACGAATAACAATAAAACATTTCGCAAGATGATGCAACCAGCCATCTGCTGAACTGCCCCTAGGCCTGCAAATAAAGATTTTGTTGGTCGTTTTAGCCACCCCACGACGCTCTCCTACAAGGTCTAGAAATCATCCCTTCTTCGAAGCTGAGGCAGTTCGAATATAACACGCGGCACAATCAAGACATTTTTGCAGCAAAATTTCTCTGAGAACGATACCAAGCTCATCGTGGAAAGAATAGAAAGTTTTAGTAGATCGTTCGATGACTCCGATAACGATACCCGACACTCCGCCTTTGTGCATGCATCATATAGGTATCGGAGCGGGTATCGGAAATATCAAACCAAATCACATTATGCAAAAAAAAAACTTTTTTTTTTTTTTGCGAAACTAAATTATGCATTACTGAACGCTTATTTTGCGCCCAAATGTAGCGCTAGAGCACCAGCCGTTATCTCATTCAAAAGTTAAGTGCGATTTTCTGAATTTTTCAATAGGAAAATGGCGACCAAAATACTCCTTCGAATACACGGGGGGTCTATGGCTCCAGTTAACAAAAACGGGCGAAAATGGGCCCCATTTTTCATTGAAAATTTCAGAAAATAACTTATAATGCGTTTTCACATTACGACAGTCCGCCATTTTGTTGTTAGAGGTCAGCGTGATGAAACTTATAACATTTTGCGCACTGCCGATTTGAGGGTGTGATGTCAATCTTCGGAGTGCTCGCCATCTGCACGCGTCAGACTGCTCATCGCAACAAAATGGTGAACAAAATGGCGTTGGTGAAAACACCCTATAACGTTTGAATAAGATAACGCTTAATACGGAAACTTTGGCATCTGGTTCGGTTCTCTAGCGCTAAAATTTGGGCGAAAAATGAGCGTTCGGTGATGCATCATTATTTTTGTAAAAAAATTAAAAAAAAAAGCTAAATTTGGTTTGGGGATTTACTGTACTAAAACTCTCAAATGTGAAACAATAAAGCGCTAATTGCAAATGAATGTGACGGCTTTTCGAAGAATGCAATGATTTGCAGTGTTCTGTGTATCTGAGTTATGTCCAATAAATTAGAGCTTAATGTGTAATATAATTGAGTTAATTAGAAGGCAGAGATAATTGAGCAGTCCCGACGCCCAAGTTCCGAACCACGCGTAGGCAGAGGTCGGCATTTTAGGTCGCCCTCACTCACCCTCACCCTCACAGCCACACTCACCTAAGCCCCTCACTCACCCTCACCCTCACAGCTACACTCACGTTCAGCCCCTCACTCACCCTCACCCTCACAGTCATACTCACCTTCAGCCCTTCACTCACCCTCACTGAACCTCACGGCCCTCACGCACTCACCGCCCTCACGGCCCTCACGCCCCTCGCCCCCCTCACCGCACTCACGGCCCTCACGCCCCTCACTCACTCATGGCCCTCACGCCACTCACCGCCCTCAAGGCCCTCACCGCCCTCACGGCCCTCACCGCCCTCACGGCCCTCACGCACTCATAGCCCTCACCGTCCTCACGGCCCTCACGGCCCTCGCGCACTCATAGCCCTCACGCCACTCACCGCCCTCACGGCCCTCACCGCCCTCACGGCCCTCACGGCCCTCGCGGCCCTCACCGCCCTCATGGCCCTCACGCCACTCACCGCCCTCACGCCACTCACCGCCCTCACGCCACTCACGCACGCCACTCAGGCCAGCTTCAGATGGGGCAATTTCGCCCAGATACTTTACGTCGCAACACCAGCAACACGCGCCGCCCGCGATCACACGCAGCAACCAATTGCTGCAATTTGCCATCGTCATCATAAAATTTTATTTTTCTTGCACTATTTAGACACAATTACGCGTTATAAACGTGTTTTTATGCGTTTAAATCCCGTTAAGAATACTAATGCACCTTTCTGAAACAGTTTATTTCCAAAAAACGATCGATTTCAAACGAGAACCAAGTCTTTCGGTGTCGTCATCACCGGCACGAGGTATCATGTGAAAATTTTGCGTCCCTGATTAGATGCAGCCGCTGCAAACGTATTCGAATTGCTCCGAGTTGCTTGCTTATTTCGAGCCGGACCCGATCTCAGCAATTCGTGTCGATCTAGGGAAAGCTAGAGAACAGCCCGCCATTAACACCAAAATTGCTGAAAAAGATGCTCGATCTGAAGGGGGCCTCACGCACTCACCGCCCTCACGCACTCATGGCCCTCACACACCTCATGCACTCACGGCCCTCACGGCCCTCACCGCCCTCACGGCCCTCACTCACCCTCACACTCATGAATTTTCCTGGTTCAGAAACTCACTCACCCTCACCTCACCTGTGAAGATGAGGGTGAGTGAGGGTGAGTGAGGGCCCTCATGAGTGAGGTTTGCCGAGGTATGCGCGCAGGCTACAAATGCGTCATCGACGTTCGAGCTGTATGGCATTTCAGAACAGTATGCGTGCACAGCGTTAGTTAGCACCGAAGGTGCCCAAACGCGCAAGCTACAGTAGCTTAGACCTCAATCATTCAAAAAGATCTTCCATTATTACTTTTTTTTAAATACTCGTACATTCCGCGTTTTAAAAACTAACGTTTGCGGACAGCGCTATGCAATGGTGGCGCCGCCTTTTGATGCGTCGAAACACCACGTTAGAGCTACCTTCAGAAGATATCCCAAAGAGGGCGCCACATATTCAGAACGTGAGAGCAGACTTTCGCGCGAAATTCGAAATGGGCAGTGCGTAAATTAGGGGACCTTAGTGTCAGCTGTACTCCCTTTCGCCGTAAGTCAGGACCTGGACAAAGGCTCAAACATGGGCATACGTACCACATGTGCAAGGTCACGGCGCATTCACTGCACTTGATAGAGAGATGACGAACACCGCGACGTCGAGCTTTCGACGCCGCTTGAATAAGGCATCAGCTCGTAGTGTCGGCTTACTGCCTCTGACCTAAAACGAGGCGTCCGCCTGTTTCACTAGCATGCATCGGACATAAAGCGCTACCGCTGCGTTCGTTCATGCTCACGCTCTGTTCTACCAAAACAATAATAACGCGTCATGCGCAACAGAAACGCGCCCGAGAAATATTCTATTTTGCTCGCGAGAGGCGCTGCCCAAACTTGAGAGATACAGCCCTGCAGTGTAAACTTTCATTTCAAAGCTAGAAAATGCGATCAGTTCACGCCCCATCTGCAGGAACGCCTGTGCAGCGGAAGCAGCTGTGTTGTCAGAATAAGAAATATAATCTAATAGAAGGGTAAAAAAAAAAAAGGAAAAAAAAAAAAAAGTTACCGGATCGCGCACGCGCTTCAGTGACAATGTAATGCTGCAGAACCAAGCCACGTACTCGCGTCAGTGTTTTTGACAGGGTTGTACACAATGTAATCGACATCTTGCTATATTACCCAAGCATTAAGGAGAATGAAGGGATTGGTGTTACACACGCGCCACAAGCGCTCGTCTTCCCGGTATAACCAAATAACCAAAATAAAGCGTTGACGAACGCGCGCGCAAGCTACAATTTGTTTTAGGATTTTGCTTTAAAAAATTGGCCACTGCTGAGGTCAGCACGTGCAGCGCGTGGAACACCAATCCCTGCATTCTCCATGATGCTTGGGTAATATAGCAATAGGTTTATTCCCCCTTCGCAAGTCAGATCCATCGAATGACATTTCTACGATCGGCGGATCAGACCGCGATCCTTCCTAAGTCACTGCGCCAAGAAGAGCGCGTGGTGATTGATACATCGCTCGAGTGCCGTTCGATACAGCTGACAATAAATTGCGCGTATGACAGGGATACAACCAACGTTCTCAGATCTAGGTCAGTTGACAAGATTCGGAAAACGCCTGTCGCCTTTTTGCGGCGCGTCCGCTCGGTGGCGCCCCAAGCGGTTAACCTAACAACTACACGGATGGGGACAACAAATACAATGACGCAGCGTTCGGCCGACATAACCAAGCGCGGCGTCAGCGTTCGGCTGGAGTTCGTGTTCTCCGGCGAAGGGGAGGAGGGGCTCTTTTGTTTCCACTCGGCCTGCATGAACAATGCAGCATGCACGATCCCAGCTCATCACAAAAGCCGAAGTGGGTCAAGCTCGCATTCTCTGAGGATAGATCCGGCACTTAACGTCGCTTCGTCGATTGTTAGTATTTTTTTTTTTATTAAACTGCGCCCGGCGATCTATTGTAGAAGATGACATGGCCATGCCCATAAGGCCTGTCGGCATGTGCACAGGCCTTGTGTTGAGTAAACACCAAGCGTGGGGAAAACAAACGGGTCAGAGCGCCCCCTATTAGCCCCGAGAAATTCGCGTGGCGCCCCCTTACGGCGAACCGGGGTGACGTCACGGCGAGGAGAGAATTTTTCCCCGACTCGCCCCGTTCGCCCTGTGGAGGCTGTGACGACGCTAGCTGTCGGCGCGCTCGTTTCTATTTAACTTTTTCGTGCGTGTTTTTTGTAGGAAGTGTAAATTTTTATATGTGTTTTTATATTGAGGTATGGCCTGTAGCTACAGGCGAAACTTCAACCAACATTTTGAGCATGGTTGACGGGGCAGGCAACGCATGAATCACAGCTGGTATATGAAAATAAAGAAATATAACCCCAATTGCAGGAGCATCACTATAGATTTACATCTCACACAATAAAGGCTGCT